AAAATTAATTTCACTTAAAAATTTCAAACAAATTTTTATACGGCTAATATGGGTAATTTTTATATTAAAAAATTTTAAAGTAATTTTTATATGACCTTAAGAATGCTGTTAAAAGTCACGCTACATTTGCTACGTATAATGCGTCGTTTAGAACCTTACAGTTTTTATATGGAATTATTTTATATGGAAATATTTTTCCAAAAATGCTTTGTTTTCAAAATAAATGTATTACTTAAAATGAGACATTGTGTGTGTGTACGTGTGTGAGTGCGTTTATGAATATATAGTTATGTAATTCTACTTGATATCAATTACTCGATTGATCGTTAACGCTACAGAACGTGTAATCGTAAACTATCTTTTTGTTGACATGATATTTTTAGTGATAGCATGTTATGGAATGGGTGATAAATATTCGTATTAAACATTTTATATTTGCATGACTAGTGAATAAGTAAGAATGGATTTTGTCTCTATGAGAGAACATAATGAGTTACTTAATGATTTTGGTGGGTTTTCGGGTAGTAAATCTACGTCGAAAAATATTCGTTGCGTGTCTAATTTTTTCATCCAAAAAAATACGCCTTATTATTAAATATATAAGTCTATATGAAATTTTAAGCGATCTGTATAACGCTATCTCTATGTCTTTAAAAGCAGTTCTTAATATTTCATCATGTTTACTGGGACATTGTGTATCCATTGTGTCCACAAAAACACATACAGATGCACAAACACTTTCCTTTTCTTTTTCTCACTCTCTTTTTCTTATATATAGTAAATAATAACATTTGAGAATTTTGAAAAAAAATGTAAAAACCTAAAAAGACATCATAAATGTAAAAAATATTCCAAGTATGTTTTTTGCTTTGACAGAAATAAAGTCCTTTAATAATTTTCTTTACAAAAATTATCTAATTATCTAAAAGAGATTATTAAAAATAATTTTTAGGAAAGATATAAATACATTTTTTGTAAAAATTGCAAGAAAAAAATATTACCAAATTATATTGTAAAAAAGTTATGAAACTATAAAAAAATCAAGTATACAAGGCATATTACACTTTCGCCGCATTATTTTTTAACATTTTTGCAAAATTTGATGATGTAAATTATAAAAAATGCCGAGAATATAAAAAATGAAACATTGATAATATGTGAATATAATGAATTTATAGATATAGCCATTTGTTTCATTCTTTAATGCAGTGCAATAATTATATCGAAAGCAAAATTATACTGAACTTCAGCTGAATATTTGAATTAAATGCCCAACAGCAGCAATATCCTTGGCGCGCCTATTTGTTGCAAAAAGCAATGCATTCTTAATTTTTAATGTACACTGTCAGATCAGCAAATATCACACACAAAATTATTTTACTAAATTATATTGTATATATATTTTTTATTAATTAATGAGTGATCAATTAATTTTACGTAACTTTTACGTAACGTAAATATAATGGATCTCTAATAATAAAGTATTTTAATATAATAGAGCATTTAATAAATAATATAGCAATATTTTTAATAACGGTTCATTTTCACTCTTAAATTTCATAGCTTACCTCCATTATTATATTATAGTTTATATGCATATCATAGTTAGCTCTTAAAAAATATACCTTATATTCTACTTATGGTATCAGAAGAAAATATAATTACATATATTGTTATATTATATAAATATTTTAAATTTACATATTTTCTCTAAATAGTGAATAATTAGATTTTACTTCTTTTTAATTAAAATGAATGTAGAAAAATTATGAATATTTATACTGCGTTCGTGTTAACCCGATATATTGATTTTTTAATTATTTATGTATGTTATTGGGTTGGGAGGAAAGTAATGTCGTATTTTCCCGATAGGTGACTTTAGTGTGTTTTACTAGAAAGAAATTTCAATTTAGATGGTGTAAGATGGCATGCTGATATTCTGACACTTCTAAATGTTATTTAGTGTATGGAGAATGTGTATTGAACCGTTTGTCTTCACTTGAGATCGAGAGAAAAATTGAACAAACAGCTGTATTTTCGTTGTTTGACGCTGTTTTACTTCCGTAAAAGGAAAAACGTGACTCAAATGAAAGAGAAAATATGTGCTGTGTATGGAGATGTCGTAACAGAATATATGTGCCAGAGATGGTTTATGAAATTAACGCTGGTGATGCAACACTCGAAAATAAGAAACGCTCTAGTCGACCGGCTGTTGCTGATGACAACCAAATCAAGACTTTAATCGAGAATAATCAACGCAACGTGGGAGATTGCCGAGATATCTCCACTTATTGCATACAAACGTCATCGAGCATTTGCATAAGCTGGAATACATGAATACAGATACATGGATCGTCTTGATGTCTGGGTAGTACATAATTTGTCTGAAAAAATGTATTAATCGCATTTCCATCTGCGATTCGTTACTTAAACGCAACGGAAACTACTCACTTTTTAAACGAATTGTGATCGTGGACAATGAAAAGTGGGTTATTTACAATAACGCAGTGCTCAAGCGGTTTTGGGGAAAATGTTCAAAAAAGACCACTTCAATGATCAGTTCAATGGTTCTTACGGAGAAGGTCATACTGTGTATTTGGTGGGACTGGCGTGGTGTGGTATATTATAAGCTCCTTCCAAAGAACGGCTTAATTCGGACGGTGCCCAATCGGACAAACTGAAGGAAGCCATTGTAGAAAGACGCCCAGAACTGGTTAACAGAAAGGGTTTGTTTTATTCCATCAGGACAACGCCAGACCTCGTGCTTCTTCAACTATCCGAGAGAAAATATTGCAACTCAGCCGGGATGTGTTACCGCACCCAACATATTCACCAAACATTGCTCCTTTGGATTACTACTTGTTCCGATCCTTCCTTAATGGTAAGACGTTCACTTCTTTGGAGGACTGCAAAAACTTTCAGCAATTTTTCGCTGAGAAAACACCCGAATTCTACGCGCGAGGAATTACGCAGTTGCCCGAAAGATGACAAAAGATTATAGGAAACAACGGCCGTCACATTACTGATTGAAGTTGTTTTTACATATAAATAAACTTCCTCCGATTTTTTAGCTAAAAATATGATATTATCTTTCTTCTCAACCCAATAATAAGATTAAGTTTGGAGAAGGTATACATGTTTCCGTTATCATCGAAAGCATTTGTAAGAAGTCTATAAAGTCTATGAAGAAACTGCGTTAATTACTCTAGAACAATTGGAAAGTAGTTTGCGCATTTTAGATTTAATGATTTTAACCTATTTTAGATTTAATGATTTTAACCTGGAAATAAGCCACGTTTTGAACATCTGATAATAGCATGATAATAGCAATGATGATTTAATCGTCAATTTAATTACTTCAAATTAAAAAATTTTTTTGAAAAAATCGCACAGAAGTGAACATTACATACTGAGGTGTAATTGTTCGTTTAAAAAAGCTTGGTTTATACTGTAAAATTCAATGTTTAGTTGTCGCATATTCTCACAGAGAACAAATTGGATCGCATCTCCATAGTCAATCCTAATTTCATCTGTAAAAAATGCCGAAAGTCGGACTGAATGTGGGTTCTCTTCCTTTAACACGTTGACTGCCACGGAACTTTTCACGATTCTGGTCTAAAAAGCCAATTTGATTTAATCAAGTAATGAAGCGACGAGATAACTCGTAGTTGGCGTCCTGGGCAAGTAAACAACCCACGAGATATCTCGTAATTGGCAGTCAACGTGTTAATTTATTATTTCATTCTGCTATTTTTGAGTAACATAAAAGGTCTTTCAATTATCAGTAGACCTACAGGGAATACCACTTTAAAAATTGCATCAACAATAGTACCTCATGGGTAACGTGGAAAACTACTGGAAACAAGTTCACGCGTTGTACGTTAGTGAGCCTCGCGTGAGTTGCCCGCACTAGGCGGAGCGAGCTGAAAAGTGTGAAGATTTTGCCGAGCTCTGCTCTAGAACACATTTCCTGCGAGTTCCGATTTCATCACACTGGGTGTAGTGACAGCTACTTTCAACTATTAATAACTCCTTGAAAAGTGGATATTTATTAGACATATTTAATTTAAAAGCTAGAATATCAAGAACATGTGTCAGTGTAATTACGATTAGCGTTTAAAAAAAGTTAATTTTGGAAAAGCCCCTATAAATATTCTAAAAAATGCTATTTGCTTTAAAAACCATTTTTTTTTTAATAAAGCCGTATTGTATAAAAAGAATAATCATTTTTTTAAAGATAAAGGATATCATTTTTTAGAAAAAATAAAAAACAATGACAAAAGCACCTATGTCATACTTGGGTATACCGCACGCATTTAAGATTGATTTCAATGGCGCCCTCTACATCTAAATAGTAGATGAGACTGTAGTGCAGCACGGAGAGTAATGGAGAGAAAATAGAAGATTTTCCCCTTCCAATTTCAATCACCAACCTTTCGTTATATAGAAACAGCGAGCATTTCAATAACAGTACGGGTGATACACCCACGTATGGTATTCTCCAGTTTAATTACGAGTGTTATTGGATGTAGTTTGCAAATATGGGTGCAATATATGCTACATGGACCGCTTATTTCAGAGATCGATATTGTAAATAATAAGGTATATTAAATAAAAGACTCGAACACATATCGAGTATTTTTCGATATAGATTCATCATGCTAAGACCTGCCAAAATCAAAGGATAATTTATCGTCTCCTTATATACGTCAACATATATATTTCTCATTTAAAAAGCTTTGCCGTTTCCTCAATATTTTTTAATTCTCATAAACGCGGGACAGATACTAAAAACGATGAAAACATATTTGCGTGTACCAATAACAGCGTATCGCAAATTCGTCGAGTTTTTAACATCATACGGACACGTAATTATAAGAAAATTACAAGAATTGTGTATTTGAATTATGTAATGATCATAATTGCTATAGAGTATACAAGTAGTTTGATGATATTTCGGATACAGCCAACCCTATAACATAATGTAAATGTTATTTCAGAGTTCAGAATTAAGTACATGGCAACGACGAGTAGCCGAACTGAGCGGACGAGTTACCGAATTGGAAGAAACGTTGTCTAAAACGCAAAAGGACCTTCTTAAAACTCAAGAAACAAATGTCAAGCTGCAAAGAGATCTACGGGAGAATGCGGCACAAAAAAAGGACCAAGAAGAACGAATAGCAACTCTAGAAAAACGATATCTTAATGCTCAACGAGAGTCCACTAGTCTTCACGATCTTAATGAGAAATTAGAACAAGAATTACAGCATAAGAAAGCTCAACTAAAGGTACTACATTTATATTATATCTTTATCATACAGGTTTCCTTGAGGAAGATATGGACAAAATTCCAACGGAATGTGCAATTAAAAGTGCACATTTTAAAATTTATTAACACGTTCGTTATCACGATTTACTTGAAAAATTCTGCCCACGGGATTATATATTGTATATAATATTGTATTTGTTTTCGTGTAAGACAGACTTATAAGGAAAGGCACGGAAGTGTTCCTCTCAGATTTTGATAATATGTCCGATATATAAGATCCGATATCCGATAAATCTATATAAACGAATTTAAATTATATTTCTCCAATGTCATATTTCATATATTGTATAACTTATCAGATTATTACTTGCACTTGAATCTGTTTCCGTATTGGCTGCCACTAGCTTGCATTAGTTTTCTTTTCATCTTTTTCTCGAAATTTGCTGAAAAAAAAAAAAGAGGAAAAAAATACTAGTGCAAACTAATGCAGCTTAGGAACACAAAACAGACCCTTGATTAGATATTAATTCGTCAAAAATATAGTAATTAATCGATTATTTTCGATGTTTTTAGGAAAAAAATCGATTGTACAAAATTGATATTTTTGATTATCGATTATTCGGCGGTTGATGCTTTTCTTTTGCCAATGCCCATCCTTAATCAAAAGTAACCCATCCACGGTTCTAGGAAGGAGCCGAATTGCCGCGGTTCCAGTGTTAAGAAATATTCATTTATTATACCATAATTTTAATCGAAGTATCAACTTCTTATTATTACAATAATTCCGGATCTATTGCGTCCTCTTCCCGGCAAAATAAACAGCAATATTTATAGCATCAGAATATCGCTGCAATATTGCTGCAATTTTCACGGCATTAGATGATCTTTTATATACTGACACAAAATGCTTGTTATATGAAGACGTATCTTATCGTATTTATTCTAGTCATGATCTAGACGATATATGTCGAAATATGTCTATCTGAGTAAAAACAAAAATTAGAGATATCGCTCTAATTTTAAGGAACATATATAAAAATTATCAATTTTAGTTGCAAATATCTTAGCTCTCGAATGTTCAATTTCTTCTTCTTGCAAGATTACAGTTAGATAATATTTCAGTGTATATGTAGTGCAAATTTCATCGAATTCTTATCAAACGAATTCTTATCAAACTCATTTTGCTTTACAACTTCCTTGAATAGAGTTCGGAATTTTGAGTGAATACGTGAAATCGGAAGATATTCTTGTGGGTCATTTTATAGTTGTAAAAAAAACATCATGTCTTTTATTTATTATTATTAATTAAAATATATGTTACAAGCTTCAAGAGGAGAAAATAGCGGCTATACAGGAGAAATTAGAACTTGCGGAACAGAAATTAGCTCAATATGCTAAGCTACCAGAAATGGAAGAACAATTGAAGCAAAGGATGGAGGCTCTGACGCAGGTGAGGAGGCCCAACCAGGTACGCAGGGGAATCACATCACATCACATCGCCAATTTCTCCTTTTTATTCCTCTGCACTTTTACTGACGTTTCTCAGGTGCAAATTGTATCTAAAGAGCTTATCTTTTTGTTAATATGCATCGTTATGGCGAAATGTTCTTATTACATTTAAGTTGATTTCAGATACTCGAAAAAATGATTTCTTGCTGCTCTATGTTCTGTATTGCTCTATGTACAATATATGATAACAGCATATTTGGCGTACATAATATGGATCGGATATACTTGATTTGCACAGCAGTGTGTTCTTATAATTCTTACGAAATATATAAATTGCTTAAACACAAATTGATCTTTTAGAATTTACTTGCATTGGAAATTTAATTATATTTGTTACATGAAAATTCAATGATTTAATTACTTTAACTCTCTTGAGGAATTACATGTAGAAATTAATTTATTATTTTCAATTAAAATTTTTACATGTCACAAGAAAAATTGTATAATTTTAAGTCAAGAAGATTGAGAATATACTTATTATATTTAAGTCTTAAAAGTGAATATTATATTTAGTAATTTCCTTCTCTCTCTAAATGGAGTAAATTCAACCAATTAAAATTTAAACGAAGGGTTTAANGGTTTAATATTTTGTGTACAACAATTAAAGTGGATCTGTAATAAGATTTGTCAATTAACGCAGATTGTTGTAATGTTCATGATAATTGAAGAAATTACAAGACAAAACAAGCTAGGCTATTAAAATCGATATTAGTTAATCTGTGAAAATCAATAACAAATCACAAATCGTTATGTACTGAGTTGCAAAAAGGTTTAGACATGATGAAGTTGAAAACGAAATGTCCCGAAGTATTCATAGTCGCATCTTATATATAAATCGTCTTAAGTTCATTTTCAGATGTACGGCTCGTTTCATTGATTATGAAACATCTGAAGGTGAACTTAAGACAGTCTTAAATATAAGATCCAACTATAAATACTGATCTAAGAGTCGTTAATCGATGAAGGAACGTAGTGATATTTTTGAATCGCTCTATATAGTATTTATTTATATGAAATGATCCAGAATTGGTGACTAATATTATTATAGCAAAAATAGTCTCGAAATTTAAACAATTTCTCTCCACTTTTTTATTCTAAGCAATAGTATATGGAATATAAGAGTTTAAAGTCGACTAATTAGAAACTGTGTTTAAATGGACATCCGTCTGTAAATAGCGGGTACGATGGTCTTAATGATCGCATTCATGTGCTTATTGGTAGACGTTAAACAAACAGTTGTTTTGCTTACGATCGCAGACTTAAAAGTTAATTTTTTTTTTTCAATATATTTTGATATATTGAAATCCAATATCCAATACATATATACATATTATAGTCACTCACCGAGTGCTAAATAAATTTGTATACTGGAGCATATTATGATATAAAGAAATTACATATAATTTAGAATATGAAATGAAACAAAATATACGATAAAATAAATTAAATAAAAAACCTTCGATAAATTAAATTAAGAGAAATTTTGACCAACTTCCTACTATTCAAAATTAGGAACGAACGTATTTACGTGTTAGTCAACATAATCTAACTGAACGGCAGTGGAGTATTTTAGAAATAATGCATAAAAACAGTGTGCATTAAACTACTTTCTTTGGCATAAATATTATTTAAATATTTCTTACATAGACTCTTACGTAGTGGGTTTGTGAAAGAAATTTCAAAGAATTTTTCTTTTCATCGAAATTTCCAAAGCATGATGCACGTACACGGTAGTGCAACCTTGTTTAAAATAATTGCTAGCCACTGTCCTCCCAACTAATTACAGTTGCAGAACATAGCATTTAAGAACAAAGAAAAACACCTACTCGGAATTAAGAAATCGCCAGGGATTCGAGCACTTTACATGTTTGAAAATTCTTATGTATATTTGAAGTATATTTTTTTACTTTTGTATGGTATTCTGGTATTTTATTGTATAAAAATAACACGCATATAGAGGACTATCAGGTGAATATTCCTGAAGTTAAACGTAACGATCGTTAGTTGTAGGACTCTTTGAGTACTAAAGAAGCAAGAAGAAAATTACAGACATAGTGCTCGAAAGTCTCCTATGCAAATAAAATTCGAAATTAGACAATAGAATATTCATTTGAAATTAGATAATAAATACAAGAAAAATAGAGTTAAATCTAAAACTATCATTCTGAACATGCGATAAGGTGTTAAAGTTAAAGTTAAAGTTATAATTAATTCTAATGCAATCAGAGTGCCGCTATCTTCTTAATATGGGAATACGAAAAAGCATCTTTACTTTAGTGTATGTGACTTTCTCTCTGTAAAATTGATAATATTGTAAATAATTAAATTTGCATAAAACATTTAAGCAGGCTCAAGAGAGGCATGGTAGCGCAGAAGATAGAATACAAAGACTGGAAACGCAATTAGAAGAAAAGAATGCGGAAGTGATGCGTGTTAACCAACGGCTTAAAATGAACGAGGAGCATAATACGCGTCTTAGTGCAACAGTCGATAAACTTTTATCTGGTAATATATATATATATATATATATATATATATATATATACATATATATATATATACATATAATGTTAATATTACATAAATGTATTTATTATTATTATTATATGTTATGTTATTATTTGTTTATTGTTCACTTATATATGTCTGCAAATTCAAGGCATAACGCTCATGTAGAATAGATCAAACAGGGAATTCATATACTATTTTACAAATTTTGCAAATTGCATTTTATATTGGGACGTCTAAGCAGCCGAGGCTGGTATAATATAAATGTCTGTGGGTATAGGATAGACTCTGTAAATATACCTGAATAAAAATATCATCTAGCTTGTATAAGAAAAATGTGTTACTTCATAGATCTCATAGGAAATAGGAAATATCTTGTTTCATAGATCTCAGCTGATGGATATTAGTTGATGATAAAAATATACCGTAATAAGCACCGTATGCTGTAGGGTTGAGATATCTTTCTCACGCAAGCTGGAAACTATTTTTCTTTATACATGCTTACAGAGTCCGTTCTACCACTTTCCTGTGCATTCATTCTCTTATAATTTAATTATTTAATTTCACAATACTTATTAAAGATTAATTCTTTAATAAGTATTGTGAAATTTGTAAAATAGTCTTTGACCTGTCACTATTTGATTCATTTTATTTCTATACGAGCGTTGCGCGCGCGCGCGCGCGCGCGCGCGTGTGTGTGTGTGTGTGTGTGTGTGTGTGTGTGATATTTTGAATACTAAACCTTGTATGATATTTCTACCATATTAGACTTTTGCGATTTCACAATTATACAATAAACAATATGATTTGTTCGAGAATTTGAATTTGAACGACCAACTTTAAATTTTCCTTTAGAATCTAATGAAAGATTGCAAATGCATCTGAACGAGAGGATGCAATGGTTGGAAGAGAAGAATGGGCTTACTCAGGAACTCGAGAAAACGAGGAAAGTGGCAGAGGATTTGCAGAATGAAAAGGCCGACATCGTTAAGGAATTGGGGAAAGCGCGCTTAGAAATTGACAACGTTAAGAGACAGATGCTCCAGCAGGAGATCGCATTTAATATTCAGCAGACGGATGCTTTAACCAGAAGTTTATCGCCGAATGCTGTGGATCCAGGTTCTTTTTCAAGGAGCGCGAGTCACGGTAGTTTCGATGCGCATTCGTTACCCAGAAGAAGCGGCAAACGATCCATCGAAGAAGACTCATCAAAGGTATTGTATATCACGTGTGCATGAAAAAATAATAAAAAACTATTTCTTGGGCTATATTTATCTCGCTTGCGATTGTGTATATATTTAAGAATAAAACTGAATGTAATATGTTAAGTTAAGTAAGTTGCTTTTTATAGAATTACGTGGCACGGACTCTGGCGGAGCAGGAGTGGGAAAAGCTACAGCAAGCGCATGTACTTGCTAACGTACAGCAAGCATTTGATGTTTCGAGTGATGCAGAGGGGGATAATGAAAGTATATTTAGTTGTGCGGCTGATGTAATTAGTCCTACCGGTCATACGGATGCCCAAACACTAGCGTTAATGTTGCAAGAACAATTAGATGCTATTAATAACGAAATTAGATTGATACAGGTATAATAAAAGTTATATTACATTACATATTATTATTTTATTACAAATTAATAGAAAACACGATGGGATGTATTGTCTTAAATCTAACGTCTCTTACATACAGATCTTTTTTTAATTAATTTAAAGTTCCTAATATTTTATGCGTCTTATTTATTCGCAATTTCATATGCATCTTGAATTTAATTTCACACATCATCTTGCAGGAAGAGAAGCAGAGTACGGAAGCACGCGCGGAAGAATTAGAATCTCGCGTCGGCAGCCTCGAACACATGAATTTGTTAGCGAGGGGTCGAAGCCTCGAACGAGCCTCGCCACCACTAAGCGGGCGATCTACTCCAAAATCACACCATAGTCCTAATAGGGATTACTTACACAAGTACCACACTGTTAGTATAATCATTTTACTGCTTATTTATATTGTTTATATTATATTTGTTTTATATTCTTTTCTATGCAGGCACCCGCGTCAATGTCTCCGGCACATTTACATCAGTATGCAGCTTCTTTAACTAGTCCAGGCCAATTGTCGGAATCTCTTCCTGCCAGTCAGGTTTGTACCTCAATTTAATAAATATTAATTCGGCTGTACCTCAATTTAATAAATATTAAGTCGGCTGTATCTCAATTTAATAAATATTAATGGATAGGGTAATTTGTCACATCTGCTAAATAAGGATGGAAATTGCACGATTTCTGAGTAATCTTTATTCACGCGTTCACTGCTAGTATCACACATATGTGACGCACCGATTTCTCAAATTTCAAGTTTATCTTTGTTCAAAATTTTCAATGCTAGTGAATACATTCGTTATTAATGCATAATCAACAAAAGTTTTTAAAAACGTTTTTAAAAATATTTAAGAAACATTTTTAAATATATAAAAAAAAAAACGTTGAAAATAATGGATTAAGTCTTTTTTCTTTAGTTACAGTGTCACAGACTCTGTCTCAGTGTGCTAGCAGAAATGTAATATAATTTAATGGCGGACTATGATAGTAGGCTGACGTGGCAAAAACCGAACAGGATCTGTCGTTTTAATGTATTTAAATGGAACGTATTTCAGATTCTATTCGCTTTCTACTGCCAATCTGCTGTTAGAGTCTGTCAGTAGATTCTGTCGATAGACCATCAGCAGATTGCGAACACTATGGATTTGTTGACAGATCCTGCTCGAATGTGTCGCCAATTTGTCGTGAGACTGCCAACAGGTTGCTGAGTTGATTGGTTACTGTTGCCCAATGTTTGATTAACGTTAATAAACAGTAAATCAACCAATTTGTGTTGCACTGAGAAAAGTCTGATAATAGTTAACAAATGCATTTAATTGAGGGGGGCGGGGCTTATTGCTGACACAGATGGCACCGGATTTATCTTCACCGATCTTAGAGCGAATTTGACACCAACTTGGCAATAATTTGCTATCAATTTACTTACCAGTGTCTGATATCGCGTCTGTAAAATGACTCCTCTTTTAAAACAATGTAATCATCAACGATTCGACGAACTTTTGCAATCTTCTAATGACGCGTACAGTATAATAATGTTTATATGCATATATTACAAAGTTATTTTTACATATAAGAGAATAATTTCTATCTACAGAATATTTGGTATATAAAGAAATTTGATAATATTTTCCATCCATCACACAGTTGCAGTTATCAGGAGAAGAGTTACATTCTGTTAGTGAGAGAGATAGTACCGGAGGTGCGGGAAGTGGTGGTAGTGAAGCGGCTTCTCCCTTAACAGCCAGGTCCCTTAGATTGGAACGAGTCGTTCAAGCACTGGCGCACAGTCAGGAGGAGCTCAGAAGGTATTTTCCGTTATTGTTCTAGCTTTTGATTCCGATCAATTTCACTATTATCCTATTATAAACGCATTCTTATATCTTCTATATATGCATTCTTTCGTAGTATTTATACCCAACGCAACTGTAAAATTATTTTCAATGTTGCGACACGATCAAATCTCTGAACTTTATGACATTTAAAATACTTGTTTAATTTGGCTGCCAAGTTAGTGCCGCGTTCGTCATGGAATTCCTTTCCAACTTGTTTTATGAACGTTCCAGTTCATTTTGCAGAGAGAAGTTGGTCCTAAAAGTGAACTGGAGTATTCACGAAATATATAAGAAACAAATGCCCACGAAAGATGCGGTACTAAACTGGAAACCAAATCAAACATTTCTCCACTGCGAAAAGCTAAATTAGTAGATTTAAAACATCTTACAATCAGAATTTCATTATGTGTTGAACGATAAATATTATCGCTTTGATCTTTACACGATGTGATAATATTACGTTTTGATCTTTACACGATGTGGGGAAACCTTATTAATACATGTAATCTCTATTGCAATCTTAACTCCTTAACCTACAACTACGTGTGAGACACGTAGTCTTGTATTCGGGCCAAAACTGATTATTATGGGCCTGGCCCGTGGTACATCGGTCGGGCCAAATGTAAATATCACGGGCATGGCCCGTGGTGCGACGGTCGCAACAGCATCAAAATTAAGGCCATCAAAACCTTGTAAAGTTTGCACGAAAAATAAAAAACGTAATGGAACAACGTGGGAGTGCAAGAGGTGCAATGTTCCATCACATGTACCAGTATGTTTCGAACGATATCACACCATTGAAGATTATTAATTTTTTGTTATTGATTTTTGTATAAATGCTAATTACGTGAATTGCTAATTTATTCAGGAATTGCAGATAAATGTTATTGATTTATGTTATATTTTAGTGATTGATAATAAACCTTTTGTGGTATATCTATTACAATTATTACATCAGGTTGTAATTACTTATCAAATATTCCACAAAATTAAACCAGTTGTATCTTACACATGTATTTACATTCCATAAGTCGTGCGGTACAACTTAGGACCGATTTGCCGAACCGTGGAATGGTTCGAAGGCTGCGCGATCTTGTTTACGTTTTGGACCCAGGCTGTTGGAACGTAAATCGTAGGTTAAGGGGTTAATTATATATGCAAAATGAAATTAGTTAAAGTTTATTATTCTTTCTTATAAGTTGTGTCTATTTTTCATTGTTTGTGCTGTCAGACGTACAGGACAGAGCGGATTTCCGAGCAGTGGTTTCCCCACGCACAGGTTAACTAAATATACTAATACTGCATGTAAGCTGCATTATAGGTCGCTGTAAACGACATACTTGAATGATTTTTATGGGCATGAAAACGAATAACTTTGAAGTCAGCCCAATTTATGTTAACGGCGCCTGCTTATCATCAAGCAATACTGCTTACTTAAAAAGATGAGCATTTTGCTCAGAAATACAATGTTTAAAGTGTATTATTTCGGCATACCCGCAATTTCTGTTATCGAGCATAATGGCACAGATAAAGTACCTGATCATTTCGACAAACCAAGATATCGAAGAAAATTAAAATTTATTAATTTCTTCTCACTAGTTTGCACATTCAAAAACTTGACCAATTTATGATAAACATTGCGGTCTGACAAGAAAAAACACACGGAAGTGTCTTCCTTCGATTTTGATGAGCTTATGATATGTTGAAATCTAGACCAAAATAGGGTATACGTTTTTTCATACGTATTTATACGCGAAATACCCTTTTGAAAAAAATTGGTTTAAGAAAAGTCGAATGGTTTCAAGAGTACAATGACATACGTACAATTATATATGGCGTAATATTAAATTATGTTTTTATACATGCTCTTATAAAAAATATTCAAAGTGTCTACTGTCTGGAAAAACGTGGAAACCTGGAATTCTTAAGGAACTTATGAAAGTATGTATAAAAAAAGATGTTCCTTATCCTGTTATAGATTTTAACATATTACAAGCTCATAAAAATCGGAAATTATACTTCCTACATTTCCTTATTAGATAAATGAAGAAACTTATGGAACCGAGAGTATTTACTTCCATGTGCACAAAATTCCGATCTCATAGATTTATGCCCATTTCTACCAATTTCGGTTTAAAGAGTAATAAATGGTGCTGATTTGTTTCAACCAGCATTGCGTCTTTTATATTTAATTAAACTTATAATCAGGGATCTGGACGGAATGAAAATATAGATCCGATTCCAGTCTATTAAAATATTTGATTAAGATTTCAATTTCCTGGATAATGAAAATACCGGTACCGTTTAAATTACGGTTTTTTTCGGTTCCTATTCTATAAAGTTGTTTCTTTACTGAAATTTGTATTGATTTAAATTATATATATATATATATATATACAGGGTGTCCCAGACCACCCGTCTCACCCGATTTTTTCGTAAACTCGACATTTTAAAGAAAAATGTTTCAGACAAAAGTTTTGTGACTTCGAGGGACACATAAGATGGTGTCATTGGTTTGACCTTAGATAGTCGTTTGAAGATCACGTGAAGGTCACCTTTAATTTCTTAAATGGAAACCCCCATTTTTCAATGCATATTCTTGTA